TATTCTCATAAATTAAATATAAAATATTTTGATTAAACACAAATAAGTAAAAATTTGGAAATACGGAAATGATATGTTGCGTTTGGTGGCGCTTTTGAAGTTTTGGATTTGTTTTCATCTGGAAAAGGTTTGTAAATAGAAGTGTTTTTGTCAAAATCGAATGCTTATCAATTTCGAACTATTAGAGAAATAATCAATGTGTAAGCAGAAGTACGCGGATTGATGTGTGTTATTTAATTGATATTTTTTAAATGAAGCATCATCGTTAATATGTTACTTTAAAAGCAGATTACAATATAACAGTAAAGAAAAATATAGTCAAAATGTAATTGTTCTGTGCAATCGACGACAATAATTCTTGAAACTGGCAATTCCGAATATATTACAAGTCTTTTCCAGTTTGGCTGAACTGAAGCCTGATGGGAATATGTTAATTTCCTACGGATTTAATAAGAAAATAATAACCGTTAATGCTTATTTTATTCGTACATATTTAGAACGTTAGTCTTGTATTTCGAGACAGTTGTGAAGGAGTGGCGACGGCTTAGAAAGATAGTTAGCGTCTCTCGAGAGCCGTTTTCCTATCTTTTGAGACTTTGGCGCACCAGATACAGGCCACTTTTGGAGCTCGCTTCTGCTCCGGACCGCCTGCACTCGGGAGCGGAGTTTGAGTCTCGCCGCTTCCCGCCCGGGCTTCTCGCAGCGCCGTGCGTTTTGAAAGCTCGGAAGTTACCGTCGGTGACTCTGGCCTTTATTTTTTTGTCGTCCGTTTTGCCGTCTTGGAAATTTTTCGCGGTCGGCAGCTTCGGCTCCCGGCGGGTTCCGTGCCCGTTTCGTACGGCGAGATTCCCGCCTCCGCGTGGTGGTTCCGGTGCGGCGGTTGCCGTACCTTGCTCGGTCGGGACGGAGAGACGTCGGACGCGGAGTCGACGGAGAGTGTTTTTTTTTACCGATACCGTAATAGAAATATTGCGAGGGCGATCTGTGGACGTGCTGGCGTTTTGCGGACGTGCGCAGCCGCCGTTTACGCCTACGTTGCTATTATGATTTGTTTGTAGTGATAATTTATTATTGACTTTCCTAAATTTGATTCGCGGTCGGACGGACGAGGCACGTAAGACGAATGCTTGCCGCTTCGAAGAGTCGGCCGGTTAGAATTAGATTCTCTGAAATATTTCGGGGCGATGGGGCCCAAATACGTTGGAGTCTGTTCTCTCTGCTATTCTGCCGTCTCGTAACGGATCCGACTAGAGTGGTGACGAATACTAAAAACTATGGGAATACTAAAAAAGAAATATGATCTATTATTTTTCAACTTTTTTGTCTTTGTAATCTGAATTTTACATCCATCTCTTAGGATACATTTAAAAGTAAAACCTGGCTTATTTACTTAATATATAAGAGTAATATTTGATTCGAATTGATTTTGTTTAGTGGCGTAAGAGCTTCTGAGTTTAAACTGTATCGAGTACCACATAATTGATATTTGTACTTCGTTGTTTACTTATGACAATGTTTTCTGAATATTGATTGCACAGTTTTTTAAAATTTATGGAAAAATTTTGGATTATTCTCACTTATGCAAAAAGAAGCATCCTTGTTTTTTCTTTTAAACTCTGAATGGTGTAAACATTAATTGATAAAAAACATATAAGATTTAACAAAAACATTTCTATTGCCAAAAGCTATGTGTAATGTTGCACATATAGTGATTATTATATATTAAATCACTGATTATTTACAGAGAATAAAAAGCGATGTATTAATATTAGAACATCTTGAAATCATCCAATGATTTGTCTTTGAAATATTTGTTTGGATTTAATATAATTGATAGGAATGTCAATATAGAGAGTTTGTTTCTGCTTTATGTACTGTATCCAAATAATTAGTTGTATCAGTAACATCACTATATTAAATCAATATATTGATACTACTGACATACATTAAAATTAATTTATATTCTATCAACATTACATATTTACAATATTCATTGTGCAGTGCACTCTTGATAATCCTAGTATTGCACAGAGCTCTTTGGATTAATGAAAAGTTCAGATTAGTAGGGTTATAAGAAAGAAGAAAATTGAAGTCAAAGATGACTACAGATAAATATTAATTTTAAATCCATTCTAAATAGTGGAGGATTTTGTTTATGTACAATAAATAATAATAATTATATTTTATAACTATTACAGATATCTGTATTGACATCATGTTTCATTTCTTTAAGTCCTGCTGAAAACTAATGTTCCAACATTCAATTTCAAAAGCTACACTTATTTTATAATGGAAATTAATTCAAAAAGTATAGTGTACTTAAAATGAAGGCATGTGTTTATAAGAAAAGTCAGGATCATTTTATAGATCAAATAATGAAATGAGATTAGTAATATCCAGCAAATAATACCAAACATCACTTCTAAACACAAAAAACCAATGTTTATTGAAAATTTTTAAATTATCATGAACAAGTTGAAAATCCATAAAGACCCTTTTTTTTTAATTGTGAAGGACATTCACAATTCAAGAAGAAATGGGTCTATATATAAGCAAGAAATCATTCTCTTAACATGCATATCAAGCAGCACCATTATTCTATCTAGAAGGGTCTGCTGACCACAGCATTAGCAACATTTGCCATTGAAAACAATGTACAGGCACAGTACTTCTCAATGAAGTCAATCTCATACATCCAATTAGGAATTGGACCAATCTGAAACATCTGGAGAAACTTGAAATTTACAAAGCTATTATTTGGAACACTGAATAAATTACAGAGATGCTGAAACCCTCTCTAAAGCATGCAGGTTTATCTTTGAAGTACATCTATCCAAACAAAAACATCTGAGATGTAAAAGAATTATGCCAAGTAAAAATTTGTGACAATCTAGATGACAGTCAAAAATTTTCTTAGAAGTTTTTCTTTGGTAAAGATAAGCTTGGCACTTGGAGGCAAAATGTAGAAAATAATAATACAGGTAAAAATCTTATGGGTACTGCTGAGTGCCAAGCTTATCTTTACCAAAGAAAAGCTGCTAAGAAGAATTTTGACTCTCATCTAAATTAAATTGTCATAAATTTTTACTTGGTGTAATTTCTTTACATCTCAGATGTTTTTATTTAGTAATTGTATTATTACATCAAGACAAGACGATGATGTACAATTCAGAGCATGAAAGAGTAATTCAAAAATTTAACTAGTATAGAAACAATACTGCAGAATTCTGAACAACTCAACACGCATGCTTTTTGTGACAAGTACAATTTTCAAGCAATAAATTTTTTTCAAGTGTGTGCTACTATTTGCAATGTAACTGTTTCTATCAAAACAAAAATTTTTAGCTTCATTTCAATCAGGAAAGTCACAAGGGCTTTGAAACATTATCTTTCACATATCCCCACAGGAAGAAATCAATTGGCATAATATTGAATGAGTGCAAAAGCCATGGAATCAGTCCACCATACCCAACTCATCATCCAGGAGATGCATATCAAGAAATTTCCTCCAGTTAACAATCTTTCAAACAGTTGTTTGTGGTATACCAAACAGCAAAGACACTTGTGTAGCCTAATTGATTTTGTGGGCTTTGAGAAAATGCTTTTGGAATGTGATTGACATTTTCCTGTGAAGTGCTTAGTCTTTCCATTTCTTTAGGTGATGAACAGTACTACTCTCTTGAAATTGTTTTATCTTACTTCAGATAGCATTGTCTGAAGGGGATCTTTTCAATGCTGATTTATGTAATAACATTGCTTTGTGATAAAAGACATTATTTCAAAAAACCAAAGTATGCACATTGCTTTTCCTTGAACAGTTGCTATTTTGAAGTATGACATCATATTATCTCTCAGACATCAAGGCAGTGGATACAAGGATGCCAAATAAAAGGTTTTGAGTTGTACTTTCATATTCTGTAAGCAGTTTTATTTTGTTGTTTCTGATTCAAAAATTATAGGAATATGGAAACCCTAACAATAATTTATAATTGACCAGTGTATTGTATTTAATATACAATGTTTTTTAAATGATGATATAAAAATTAGAATAAAAACTAAATTGAAAATTTTGCAGGATATCTTGACATGTTGCCAAATGCATCAGTATAGTTGTTTTCATTGTATATATTACATGCTTGTCAACCTTTGTAATTTTTTAATTGGATATAAGTCAGTTTAACAAATAAAAAAATGTATCCCTTGATGTTTTTTTAGAATCACACTCTTCAGGAGTATATTCATAAGAAATTAAAATTTTAGATGTGTCTAATGTTGATTGATGCTCTATAGTCTGAAAAAGAGGAGGGAAAAGTAAGAAATCAGTCAGGATGGGAAAGTTACATCCTCACTATCAGAAGAAGCTAAAAGCAAAAGTATCAAAGTTATTGGGAAGTCTAGTTCTAATGAAGAACAAATAACATTAGAAAGATTCTGAATATAAAGAAAATATTTGGATGGTTAGTTGAAGATACAATATCACTATGAATTGCTATGGGAACAGTAGTTAGTTTGCTTTATTGAAAATTCGTATTAACTATTTCAGGGTCAAGGTCATAGTTGTATAATTTAGGAAGTTAAGACTTAATAGATGATAGAAGTCTCTATATTATAATATTTTGAATTAATTTACCAAAACTAAATTTATTTACAAAAATACATTAACAATTTTCAAATCAAACAATATGAGGATAAGACAGTATTTGCCATTTAAATGTTGAGCATGGCCAGATGGCTGAGCGGTCAAGGTGTCAGCCTACCGCTGTGGGGGACCCGGGTTCGAATCCCAATGGGTCAAAAGATTCCCAGGAATTTTTTGGAAGAGTTGTTTATCTGGATATGTCGGGTCTCATCCCTCACCATCCGGCCGCCCCATTGTGGGCCAGGCCGAACCCATAATGGGCTTGCTTAAAGAGGTCCTCTTAGTGCCCACAGGGCAGAAGAGAAAAAAAAAAGTCAATCAGTATATCAGAGTGGTTAAATAAAGTAAAGCTAAAAGAAATCTCTGATTTTTTTTCTGTTGAAGATAGATTGAAAAAGTAGATTTGGCACAAAGTAGTCAAACCCGACATCACTTTCTTCCCAATATGCAAACTAGCATGTGTTTGCGTGGGACTACATCCATTTAAA